ATTTTAGCTCAAGGTTTTTTGTCTCCCTCCGCTACGAGTCGGGAAACAACACAACCTGGAGCTAAAATCTACTACTTTTTTCCCTTGTATAATAAATAACTATTGTTCACTACATTCTGAAAATATCTATTTGTCAAAATGCCCCTGATAAGCAGTTGTTGCCATTTACTACCCATCTTGATATAGAGTATCCCAAAGGCTGAGTGGGGTAATAATTGTCAGTATATAGCATCAGAGGATGTGTGTACGTTTCCGTGTTTTTATTAAAGAGGACTATGGAAAAAACCAATCCATGGAGGTATTTTAATACATTCTTGAAGATGAAAATTCAAGACTTATATTCCCGAACATTGAAATTGCACTGAGAATGTATTTGCACTGGAGAATGCTCACTTTCAAAATAGGAAATTATAAAAAATAGGCTCCGAACTCCGATGGGACAAAACTGTCTTCCAGATAATTCTTGTTTTTGACAATATTTCCACTGGGTGTTTCTTAAGTACGCATAAAAATGGCAGGAGCATGTTGCTGACGTCAAAATAAGAAAAAAAGTTCGTATAAACATAAATGTTCGCAAGTTATTCAATTCTGAGATACAAAATGTCAAAGTTTGATTCTTTTTCCTGTTTTTTGTGAGTAAATTCAAAGAATTCATTCACAAAAAACCGAAATAACAATCGAAATTCGACACTCTGTATCTCAGAATGAATAATTTGCGGACATATGTTCATGAAAACTTCTCTTCTTATTTCAACGTCAGCAACATACTCCTGTATTTTTTACACGTACTTAAGAAACACCCTGTATATGTAAAATAATTGAGTTGGTTAGACCGAAAAATTTGTTTATTTTATATGGAAAACAGTTAGGAGCCAGGTCACCCTGGCATCAGTTTGTTACTGACAGAAAAACATCTCGATTTACTCCACAGAAGAATTTTATCAAAATATTGTTTATGAATGAAAGGCCATTTTAATTATTTTGGAGGAAAATATGCGGTACAGAAGAAAAATTTGAACAATAAAAATCTATCACCAATAGGGTTTATTTTTATTTCAAAATACAAATTCAACAATAGATAAAGGTAATGATAATAATCATAATAATAATAATAATACCACTTTTACCACTATCAAATAATACATAAAAAATCTCCATTCATATTGACTCAGGTTCATTACAGAGCGGCCCATAAGATTGATTCAAAATTCATGCAAATAATTTTGAAACATACAGAGTGCACTGAAACTGTAACTCAATTTAATGAAGAATTGAAAAAGATGTGGGGTAGGGCGTTTTGCAATTGATTCAGAGTGGGAAAATTGAATCACCCTGTATATGAAAGTAAAAATAATAAGATTCAAAACATGAGAACAGAAATATAAAAAATTTTCCATTTCACACATACACAGGGTGAACTGTGAAACCTAAATTTCATGAAAAATTCAAAAAGTTAAGTAGTAGACGTTTCTAGATTTTTTTAAACTTTGAATTCGAAAATGATTATATCCGTTACTTATGGACCCCCTATTACAATTCAATATTGGAATGGTCATCACAAACAAATGAATTGTAACAAAAAAAAATGGATACATATCTTCCCCAACAAAATTTTATAAAATAAATGTCGATTAATTATTGTGATTCTGTGTCACATCATTCAGTGAAATCTTTTAATGCTGGTGAAAATTTATTCAGTCACAAAGTGTTGTCAGTTACAAACATACAGAGTGAATATGAAATTCTTGAAAATTATTACGAAATTTTTGAATCAAACTACTTATTAGATTTTTCCAAGTTTTCGACGAATTTTTCTTCAAGAAAAATACAAGGAAAATTGTTTTGATTGTTTCCCGTGAGTTAAAGCACTTCTGAAAATTATAATTTCTGATAAAATATTCGATTGATCGAGCATTTAATTCACATTCGAGTAATGACATAGCTCAATCCATCATTTCAAAAATAATTATACAGGGTGTCCCTAAAAGGTCTGTACAAAAACTTAGCACATATTCCTGAGATCCAAATAAGCTGATTTAAAGCAACTTAGCACAGTCCGAAAGATCCGTTTCCGAGATAAAGAGTGGCGAAGATAAAAAATACAAATCAACAAGTACAGTGTGTCCAATTTTCGATGCTTTTGCGTGATACCTCAGTTATTTTTGGAGATAAAACCTTGCGGTTTTCGCGGTTCTGTGCAACTTTTTTTGTGAAATTCAAGATAACCTTTTAAGATTTTGCATAACGGTTTCCGTTCATGAGATACAGGGCGATTTTGAAAATTTACACTTTTTGAACCGCCTCTATATCTACGAAGGTTTCTCAGCGAAAATGTAAAATCAAAATTTTATTTCATAGAGATTTTACGCAGAATCCAGTGGCGCACTCAATTTTTTTCTCGTGGTATGGTTTTGAAGATACGACTCGAACTTCTTTCAAATGGAACAGCTTGTATTTTATAAGCTCATTGAATTCATAAATTTTTCACGTTTTCATATGTATAAATATAAAATGTTCTTAAATGCTCAAAAATCACTAAAACAATTGAATTTTAATAATATGGGCAATGGATTTTTCATATAAAAGAGTTTCAATTGAAGGAATATTTCCATCGGTTTTTCCATGAAGAGGACAAAAACAATACCAAAACTATATAACTAACAAAACATTTCGGACTGAGTTAAGTTTTTTTGAATTGGCTTATTTTGACCTCAGGAATATGTGCTGAGATTTTGTACAGACCTTTCAGGGACACCCTGTATATTGCATATAAAAAATAACGTCCAATATGAAATGAATAGTTTTTAGATACATTAAAAATAAAATATGTGTTCAGAAGTAATTCTTGCAAAACTAGATCAATATGTGATTTTCAACATAACATTTTGATTAATTCTTGAACTTAAAACGAAATCACCCTGTATGTTCATTGAGAATTGCGTATCTGCCACGATAGTTTGCCATTTCATAACACTTAATTTAATTAAAAGGATAATTAGTACAGAATGTGTTCACAGATAGTATTGTCTAAGTATTAAAAAAATATATATGAAAATCGGTCATATACCGAGCATTCTTAGGTTGGCAACACTCTGTCATTCACATCATGCATTATTGTCAAATGTCATGACTTCAATATTGGAATTGTTCAATCAACATTTATTATAAATGAGAAAAATACATATTAATAAAAAACCAGAAGACTTTCCCGGTATCATTGATAGTAATAGCAGTAGACAATAATGACGATAATGACAGATTGTTGCCAGCCTGAGAAGAATCAAAAATATGCATCCCATACCTATTGCATATGGACGATATTGAGCCTTCCTGAATGATAAACAACTATGAAAAATATTATAATGCTACCTGAACGAAAGAAGTATCAAATAATAATTTGTATGCACTTGCAAAATGATTGGCTTATATGTTTTGATATGATTTGCAAAACTTTTTTTTTTTGGGAATGACCAACTTGATAGTGTAGCAAAATGAGATAGTTAGAGAAATGGTGAGAAATAAGTGTCATTTCCCGACAATTCCAAATTACTATTGTGAACACACTATTCAAAAAACATACACCAACTTATCCTATCAACTCACCTCATATACAACCTGGAAAAGCCTATATAAATATAATTAGTTTCCTAACTCATCAAAGTGAGAAATAAAGATGAAGATGCTTCTTCCAGCAACAACATAACCAAAACGGCTTTATTATTCTGAATAAAGAAGAAAACTATCTTCCTCTCTCGCTCAGAGTTGAGATTCTTACAACTATGGTGTATTTTCTATTCAAATGTTATTAACCAGAATGTCTCAATGGACCAAGGAGATACTTCGAGATTTTGTATGTAGGCACAACGGTTAGGCCTTTATTTGATTAAAGCAACAAACACTTTGATTACAGATTCCTTCGCGAATTGTTGAGGGTACCGTTTTCTATTTTTTTCTATCAAGCACGAGAAAGGAAATTCCTATAATGTTCGGAGATAGGAAACAACCCAACCATTTACTTCCAATTAGTTACATAACATGTCGAAAACAGGCCATCATCAAGTTTTATAGCGCTTTTAGTTCTTGTGCCTTCTTATTTCCCCCTCTCATACTTTTTCTCGGCACTATCTAGTAGTCCAACACGTTAACTGCCCACAATACAACACGTTAACTGCCCACAATTCACTCGAAGTTTTGGTCCATGGGTCCCAAACACTAAACTTGATGTAAATCGATTATTTGGTTGTACTTATGTTACTCATGTATGATACTTATCATAGAAATAGAAATGATCGAAGAAGAGTGATTTGAAAATGAAACCCAACGTTTGGGTTTCGGAGCCTGAAGTAATTCCAGGCCACAAAACCCATATGAGGGTTTCATGCAAAACGGCCTCGTCATGCGCAGTCAAGGTTATTATTGTTTACACTTGATGAATAGCAGGAAGAAGGGAGAAAAGTAGCTCAACTGAGAGCGCCAAAATCAAGATACAAATGTCAACAGTGTGAGCGTTTTTTAGTTTGCCATGTTTTATTAAAGGATACAAAGCGTCCAAATTGTCTATCAGAAAGCATATTTTATTATATGTATTTGTATTTGTATACACGTTAAAAGGTAAGGCCCCCGTCATTCCTTGCTCGCACAAGACTTTCGAAGACTTTTGAGGGTTGCTCGTAAGGGGGCAACCGAATGACGGATAGAACAAATTTTAGAACAAACAAAATTTTTTAAACAAAAACAAATGTGTGTTCGTTTGTCAAATACTTGAATAAATCAACTTTTTGATACTATAATTCTTACTTCCATATCCCCAAAGAAAAACAAATATGCTTCAATGCTTTCTGAAACCCACTCGTCGAACTTCATCGAATGAAGTGCAAATGTATCATGAGACCCAGAGTTAGGGTTTCGGAGCCGATTTACGTTTGGGCTTCGTGGCAGTTAACGTGTTTTAATACTACACTCACCAGCAAAAGAAACCGACCAGCAAACAATTTAGCCAAATTGATCTCCCGGAGCAGCCTTATGAAATCTGTCAGAATTGTCTGAAATATTCATTAAAAATGGTAATGGTGTTGCCAATTGAAATTTTCCAATGAAATTTTGCACTCAACCGAATTGAAGGAAGCTGAATTCAGTGGTCGCAATTTAAATAACATAGTATGCCCTGAAAATTGGAATTATATTTTGCAAATTTCTGTAAACATATATCTTCGGATACTCTTTCTGCAGAAACAATGAGAAAAGGAGACAAAAGTAAAAGGATACATAAGTATTCATACTCTTTAATTGTTACATATCTTCTTGCTGGGTAATTGCGACCGATTGGTTTTTAATTTTTGTTATTTTTTCAAAGGTTCGTTGTTTCATCCGACCAATCTGATAATCCGAATTGGTGTGGTTTTGATTGCTTCGCGACACTATACGGTAACTTCAACCGTTTCTTTATAAACAATCCAAGAATACACCAAAGTTACAAGAACCTCCCTTCCTAAAACACATCCAACTTCCCCCCCTCCCGTGTTTATGTTTACTGCTGCTGACCCGGCACCACTTGCGCAGGCGCCAAACGGCACGTGAACGCCACACCAGCCAACAACGCCCTCTTGACCACGGCGGGCACGCTCGGCTTGGCGGCCGTGTTCTCGCAGAGGATGCGCAGTTCGCGGAACATGTTGCGCGTGTAGGGGTTGCGCCGGGACGCGTAGCGCTGCGTCAGGAACTGGTAGTAGATGAACGGCGTCAGCAGGCTGGCTCTGCCCCTAAAGAGGTCGGATCGTATGAATAGCGCTCGCATCGATGATAAAAATATGATTATTCCACTTAAGACTAAAGTGGGTAGTGAGGTTGACCATTTCCATCGGTGGCTTTATGAATTCTCGCGCTTACAGGACGTCACTGATGTCTGCGAGATGCAATTCTTTCTTCGGGCGAAAATACATGAGATAAGGTTTTTATCGATAAATACATGTTTACTTGTATCAAAAAAATATGGCATCAGAACAATTTCTGTGAAAGCCACTGTTCTTAGTATTTTCCAATATTAGAATTCAACCAATGAAATCAGCAGCCATACACCCCACCAAGAATTGTATCCAAGTGTCTGAAAAGAGGTGTCAACAACAATATTATACATGGTGCTCTCGAACAGGATGTGCAGCTCGCAGAACATGTTGGGCGTGTAGGGGTTGCGCCGGGACGCGTAGCGCTGCGTCAGGAATTGGTAGTAGATGAACGGCGTCAGCTGGCTAGCTCTGCCCCTAAAGGGGTCGGATCGTATGAATAGCGCTTGCGTCGATGATGAAAATATGATTATTACACTTAAGAGTAAAGTGGGTAGTGAGGTTGACCATCTCCATCGATAGCTCTATGAATTCTCGCGCTTGAATTACGTCACTAATATCTGCGAGATGCAATTCTTTCTTGGGGCGTAAATACATCAGTTATAAGGTTTTATGAGGGTAGTATGGCATCAGAACTATATCTGTGAAAGTCACTGTTCTTAGTATTTTCCAATATTAGAATTCAACCAATGAAATCAGCAGCCATACACCCCACCAAGAATTGTATCCAAGTGTCTGAAAAGAGGTGTCAACAACAATATTATACATGGTGCTCTCGAACAGGATGTGCAGCTCGCGGAACATGTTGGGCGTGTAGGGGTTGCGCCGGGACACGTAGCGCTGCGTCAGGAACTGGTAGTAGATGAACGGCGTCAGCAGGCTGGCTCTGCCCCTAAAGAGGTCGGATCGTATGAATAGCGCTCGCATCGATGATAAAAATATGATTATTCCACATCGGTGGCTCTATGAATTCTCGCGCTTACAGGACGTCACTGATGTCTGCGAGATGCAATTCGTTCTTCGGGATTAAATACATAAGAGATAAGGTTTTTATCGATAAATACATGTTTACTTATATCAAAAAAATATCAGGATAACGCAATATGGCATCAGAACAATTTCTGTGAAAGCCACTATTCTTCGTATTCTCAAATATTGGAATTCAACCAATGAAATCAGCAGCCATACATCCCACCAAGAATTGTATCCAAGTGTCTGAAATGAGGTGTCAACAACAATATTATACATGGTGCTCTCCAACAGGATGTGCAGCTCGCAGAACATGTTGGGCGTGTAGGGGTTGCGCCGGGACGCGTAGCGCTGCGTCAGGAATTGGTAGTAGAACGGCGTCAGCTGGCTAGCTCTGCCCCTAAAGGGGTCGGATCGTATGAATAGCGCTTGCGTCGATGATGAAAATATGATTATTCCACTTAAGAGTAAAGTGGGTAGTGAGGTTGACCATCTCCATCGATAGCTCTATGAATTCTCGCGCTTGAATTACGTCACTGATATCTGCGAGATGCAATTCTTCCTTAGGGCGTAAATACATAAGTTATGAGGTTTTTATCGATAAATACTTGTATAAAAAAAATATCAGGATAGCGCAATATGGCATCAGAACAATTTCTGTGAAGGCCACTGCTCTTAGTATATTCAAAGACTGGAATTCAACCAATGAAATCAGCAGCCTTACACCCCACCAAGCATTTTATCCAAGTGTCTGAAAAGAGATGTCAACAACAATATTCGACATGGTGTTCTCGCACAGGATGGGCAGCTCGCGAAACAGGCTGGCTCTGCCCCTGAAGAGGTCGGATCGTATGAATAGCGCTTGCATCGATGATGAAAATATGATTATTCCACTTAAGAGTAAAGTGAATAGTGAGGTTGACCATTTCCATCGATAGCTCTATGAATTCTCGTGCTTGAATTACGTCACTGATATCTGCGAGATGCAATTGTTTCTTCGGGCGTAAATATATAAGAGATAAGGTTTTTATTGATGAATACATGTTTAATTGTAACAATTTCTGTGAAGGCCACTGCTCTTAGTATTGTCAAAGACTGGAATTCAACCAATGAATTCAACAGCCTTACACCCCACCAAGCATTTTATCCGAGTGTCTGAAAAGAGGTGTCGACAATATTATACATGGTGTTCTCGTATGGGATGCGCAGCTAGCGGAACATGTTGCGGGTGTAGGGGTTGCGCCGGGACGCGTAGCACTGCATCAGGAACAGGTACTAGATGGACGGCGTCAGCAGGCTGGCTCTGCCCCAAAAGAGGTCGGATCGTATGAATAGCGCTCGCATCGATGAGAAAATACTATTATTTTGCATCCCAATTGATAGTTGAGGGGATAGTGGGGTTGACCATTTCCATCGATGGCTCTATGAATTCTTGCTCTAAATTACGTCACCGATATCTGCAATTCTTTCTTCGTGCGTAAATATATAAGAGATAAGGTTTTTATCGAAAAAGACATGTTTATTCGTTTGAAAGAAATATCAGGATAACGCAATACGGCATCTGAACAATTTCTGTGAAGGCCACTGCTATTAGTATATTAAAAGATTGGAATTCAACCAATGAAATCAGCAGCCTTACACCCCACCAAGAATTTTGTCCGAGTGGGAATAAAGAGTTCGGATCGTGTGAATAGCGCTTGCATCGATGATAAAGATATGATTATTTTACATTCCACTCAAGAGTAAAGTGGGTAGTGAGGTTGACTATTTCCATCGGTGGCTCTATGAATTCTCGCGCTTAAATCACCTCAACGATACAAGCGAGATGCAGTTATTTCTTCGGGGGTGAATACATGAGAAATAATGTTTTTATCGATAAATTCGCGGTAGCCAAGGTCATCATCTGACGTTGCGATTACATAAAAACTACGGAAAAACATTCCTAACTCCCGGCACAGATTGAAAGTTAGACATGTTTTCCCGTAGTTTTTATGTCATCGCAACGTCAGATGATGACCTTGGCTACCGCGAATATATGTGAGGGCTAACATTTTCAGACAATGTAAGTCAAAAATCCCAAGATATTGATAGCCCTAGATGATGTGGCATGTTTTATCGAAAATATTTTCGGAAAAAATTCAGTAGAATATTTGATAAAATAGAAAACCTCAAGTTATGGAAAGACTTGTGCAGACTTACGTTTTTTTAGTCTCAATGTTGAACTTTACGACCAATTCTTACATTGACGGAGAAGAAGATATCGTACAAAGAGGCCAAATGACACGAGAAGAAGTATATTTATCAGTTCCACCAACTCTGACCTCACACTTTAGTAGCACGATCCAGTGGACAATAAATAATGTAAGCCCTCATTGTATGAAAGTTATATTGTTATGACAAACAATCGAGAAATGTATTAATCAATAAAACATTTCTCGAATGTATGTTAGGGAGATTAATACACAACTAAAGTATAAAGACAATATGGTTTGAAAAAAAAAACGACGTTGTGTTAAGAAAACTCGAAAAATATTTTAAGGTAGTGACCGTGATTGTTATTGTCAAAGTTTCGAAGTTAGTTTACTGAAAGTAAGGTGCATATTTATTAGTTATTGGGATAGCTAGATAGCTTTTAATCACTACAAATGCTTGGTGATTGCTGGGTTTTAGGAAACTAAATTTTATTGGTTCTTAGGATAGGCGTGTATTAATCATAGGAAAAAAATCGAGGGAATGGTACAAAAAGCTGTGGGTCTGTGGGCATCAACTTTCTTCTCGCCAGTAATTTTCCGAAAAATATATTTTCTAGAAAGAAGATTCATTTAGGCCGACCTAGTTCAGATTGTTTGGAAACAGTAGTCTCATTTCTCATGCAGAAAGGATATTTTCCTACCTTATATTACGTTATTCCCTCTTTGGAATTCAGAGAGCTACCGATGGAAATGGTATAACCTGGCGAGTTTACACTAGCGATATTATTATTCATGATCAACAATGGAAGTAGTTAGTTTATCAGACAAATGTTTTATCTAAAATTGAATGGGAAGTTGAATTTACTGTCTGTGATAGGATTATTTAAACTTACATTCCTTTACTTAGTACATTCCAGTTGAGAATCAAGTGGTTATTGAGATAGGGATTGTTTGACCTCGTGTTTCAATAGTTTAGGCGAGTTTACACTAGCGATATTTCATTCATGATCAACAATGGAAGTAGTTAATTTATTGGTCGGCGCTTGTATGAACAATCTGAAATTACATCAAACGTTGACAGTACTGTCAATCCATATTTGATGATTGTAAATCGTCGAAAAATTACAATAATCGCAGGACACAGATTAGTTATTCATTGACATCTGGTCGCATCCATAGTCAGCCGTTACTAGTCGGCAATAACACCCTGAGCCTACTTGAAGTCACTGAACTATACACAGGGCTGAACAGAATAGGTCTATAACTATCAATATTCATTAGCTTTCCTACAAAACTTATACTCTGACCTGTTTGATCAATCACATGTTTGTGTCATGATTGTGATTACTGCACATGATTTTTCCAATCTACCATATTCTACAAATGCATTAGAGGTTCCTGAAACTCAATGGGCCTCCTAGTTTTACTTACAGGTTTATTAAAAAGTAAAAAATCTAGATTTGAAAAATGTCTCAAGATAAACACATTTCTTGACCAATTCTCAAAAATGTGAATGTTTTATGACTGAAAAGGTAGAAAACTGTTCAATACTTACAAAAATATCAGGATAATGCAATATGGCATCAAAAGAATTTCTGTGAAGGCCACTGCTCTAAGTATATTCAAGGACTGGAATTCAACTAATGAAATCAGCAGCCTTGCACCCCACCAAGAATTTTGTCCAAGTGTCTGAAAAAAGGAGTCAACCATAAAATTATACATGGTGTTTAAATTTCAATCTGCCAAATATCAATTGTTAATAGTACTCTTTTTCATTGAACATAAAAATTACAAGACCTAGCAGTTGCCAGTTGATTATATAAACGATAGCATTGTTGTCATTTTACAGATCATTTTGAATGCTATGCTATGCTATGCTATGCTATGCAGCAAAGCTTGAGTATTTATATTGTCAATATTTCAAAAGTAGGCATTGCAATGACACAAATTGATACTAAAAAAGCATTATGAATATTATTAACCAACTGTAGTAACAAGGAAGAAAAATGCCCGATTGCCCGCGGAGAATAATAATTCTTATGTGAAATAATCAGTGAACATTCAATTTTCATCGCTTGGAGCGGACCAAAGGAAATCACTATAAGGTTCAAAGAACAGCGTGTGTACCGATTATATTTATATTATAAATTACTTGTTGGCAGCTAGCAATAACCCCAAAAAAATTAACATTTTCGAAAATCAACCAATACTTCTAGAAAAAATGTGAAATTTGATATATTCTTGAGAAGCTAAGTGATGAAATGGTATTGAATCTGAGAAAACAAGTGTATGTCACATACAAAAGTCAATATTTTGAAAAAACCTATAGTGCCATTGTTTATTTTCAGCCAAAAATCGAAGTCATTTGTTTTAACCTTATTACTCATAGTCATCTTTCTCATAGTTGAGAGGAACTATTTTGCAATGAATAAAAATGATCAAGATATAACCCTTCAATTTCACCGAATCAAATAAAAAATACTGGAATATCATGAATGACCTAGTTCAAAATTGCAATTATCTACTAGTGTAATTATGGCAGAAATACTTACATCCAATAATGTTAATGAGTAGCTTGCAGAGTGAAGAGTGCAAAACAGCACAATAGGTACAACAACCACTATGTAAATATTAAGAAAAATATGTTCAGACACTTGCTAGCCATGGAAATTAATAATTTTAGAAACCAAATCTTGAGGAAATTACGATCTGTTGTTTGTACTGACCAAATCAAACCATAAATTTCTTTTGCAACAGTTCAGAGCATGCTATAGAAAATGTTCAACTTACTTGGAAATTCAGAAAAATGTCACTGAAACCTGAGCTGAAACCCATGAAACATCAACCAAAAATTCCATTGATTATATTATGAATCATGAATTAATCAATTCTTCAATAATTACAAAGCAAAATTGACATTTTAACACTAATACTGATTTTATGACCTCTCATGTGTTTGATTTGATTCATAGTAAACAGGGTGATTCATAACATATGCACAGGACTTCAGGATGAGATAGATCATCATAAATATGGACTTTGAATTACCATATTTGGGTTCACCGCAAGTGCGGCGAAAACAACTATCTCGGGCTGGGCGGAGGGAAAAACACTCACGTACTGGTCTGAATTACCAGAATTAACCCATTCAAAGGCGTTCCTGCCTAAACCATCGGAAAAAATAACCAGGCAGATCCTAGAATGGAGCAGGGGTAACCTGCGAATTCTGACTGGACTGCTTACGGGACACTGTCGTCTAAGATACCACCTGGGAACGGACTGTCGGTTCTGTTGTGTGGAAGACGAAACATCTGAACACATATTATGTTCATGCTCAAGCTTAGAAAGACTAAGGTTCGACACATTTGGCTTTACCAATTTAGAACCTATCGATTTCAGACAAATCTCACCCAATTCAACCATGAACTTTGTGAAAAGATGTGGATTGTATGGTGAACTGTAACCTCTAGGGGTGAGCCACAATAGACCCATCTGGGGTCGCAGTGGAGGGGAGGTATCCGCCCCACTCACATGGAACCTAACCTAACCTAACCTTTCAATGCACCTTTTTTTGGAGATACAGGGTGTTGGAATTTGAAAAAAATCGTTTTTTGCGAAAATCTCTGGAACCGTTCATCTCACAGAAAAAAGCTTTTGTATGCATTTTCTACCCATATTGAGCTATGTTTAGTGCCGGAATATATTTTTTGAGTCATAATAGGTGAAGATTTTAAAGGGGTAGTGAGTGTTGTCTCCCGAACTTCTACGCCACCGGACTAAAGCTTACCGTTTTCCAGAAAAATATTTTTTTATATTGAAAACCAAGGTCATCACCCTGTAACTCTAAAATGGTGCATTTCAGAAGGTAAGTTGATAGAAACTTTTATCCATATTTTTGGATGAGCTATCTCAGCCTAAAGTCCAGTGTATATATTATGTAACACCCTGTATATGAGATTATATATACAGGATGAGATTATATTTGCTGTGATACTAATCGAGTAGTCTGTAGGTTTAATCAGCATTGACCATTCTAGAACACCTGATTTTGACAGGGTTACTTGGAAGGTACAGAAACTATCTGTTGGGATACCTTTGATGAGCATAGCTCTGCCCACATCCAGAATACAATAGAAGATTCACCAAACAAGATCATAAAATCCATTTGGGTTCCAAGGAAAATGATCCAACTACTTCTGATTCCAAATGAATTGATTTCATGAAATGATTTCTTATGACAAAATACCTTGCAAAATACAATGTTTACCCTCCAACACCATGTCAAATGATGTAATTCTGGAATGATTAATTGGCAAAATTCAACCTAACCTCAATTATATGTTAATACCAATGTTTATATAATCTAATTGAACTGATTTGGAATACCTGCCATTTAAGTGAACTCAAAATTCTGAAATCCTCTAAATATCTCTCATATGTCACAATCCAGTTTGTGAGCAAACAAAAACAAATGAAATTCAAACTGTCTAGCTCATGAAATTCAGCCTAACCCCAATTATATGTTAATACCAAGGTGTATACAATCTAATTGAACCAATTTGGTATACCTGCCATTTGGGTGGACTCAAAATTCTGATGTCCTCTAATATCTCTCATTATATATCACAACCCAGTTTATGAGACAATGAAAACAAATGAATTTCAAATTGTCTTGCTCATTATCAAATTTTTGATAAAATCAGTAAATATTTTGAGATGAGGAGCTAGTTAAATGAATCAATCGAAATTGTAATGCTGTTTATCACATTGTATAATAGTGAATTATTGGTTTATAATGACCACCAATAAATGGCAGGAATTTATGTTGGGAAATCTAGCAGGAATAGAAAATAAAAAAAAAACTTTTTTTTCTCATTGTGATGAATTTCATTAATTTTTCTAGAATTTTGGTTTCTGCCTGTTGCTTGTTTCAAGCAGTTAGTTCAGGAAGATTTATATCTTCTATCAAGCAAATATTAGTCATTGGTCTTCATGAAAGGATACAACTGAGTGGAGCAACATAAAGGAAAATCAAGGAATAGAAAAGATAGTGGCAACTATCTTCAGTCAGCAGTTGTGCAAGGAATTCTCTGGTAAAAGTCACTCTTCCCAATCTTTGATGCAAACGCAATGCACTAATAGCTGCATTTGCAATGAGAACTTTGTAGTAAGCACTTTGGGCATTCCTGAAAGAAAAAACTCAATGTTTGTGTATATATTACTTCAGTATATGTAGAATATCATTTTATATTAGATATTATATTGAATTCATTTTATTCAGTTATATTATAAATTTGATCAATTAACAAAATCTTAGCTGAATAATTTGAGGGGGATACAGAACATTATCCAAATCTTTTTCAGCTGACCAATACTGAATTTGCTATGAAGATATGCATATGCATAGATTTTCCAGTTGGTTCAGCTTGGTATCAAGTATAGGTTGAATCTCAGGTTGAATGAATACTACAATAATTACTAGGGTAATTATATATTTACAGATTTGAATAACCTTCATCCTCACTGTGATTGTGGAATGGGTACAATACAACTTGTATAATTTATCAGTTCATTATGTATAATGAACCAAGGACAATAATTACTGATAATAATTTTATTATTTAGTGGATTAAGCATCTAGAAATGTGTTGAACCTTGATCAGATCAGTGGAAATTATAGGATATTCCCCAGGATATTTCACATGGAAGTGATATTCAATTGGCAATTTTCTGCAGCAAAACATTTCAACCAAGATGGCAACAAGAAACTAAGTACCTATTTGAATAGGTATGAAAATGACATATTCACTAGTTCTGCCTCTGGCTGATCCAAAACATATTGTTGATTGAGATTCAAGTTTGATGCATACCGAGATGCATACTCAACCTACTATACCTACTTATTATTATACATTTAGCTCTTTAAAACCTGATATTTTACTGAAAATGTATATTATAATTTGGCATTATTAATTTTATTTTGGGACTTCATTTATAATTAACTAGGTAAAAGCTTATTTTGAATCATCAAGGTATTATTATTTTACCAATAACTGTGTGAAGAAAGCAGAAAAAAACTGGTTTTGTATGACCTAATTTCAAAATATATGAATCTAGAATGTACAAATCTATCACTTACCCAAAAATAGGAATAAAATATCCTATGGCAAACAAAATAGCCAATATTCTGATAGCCCATAGGCCACAATCTATTTTATGAGTTAGGACATGTAATTTGAGTGCTTCGAAATTCAAGCCCCTAGAAGGTCTAGGCTCACCAGTTGAAGTTTGTGCATCACCAGAATCTCCCATGTTGTTAGTGATAAAATAAACACTTTAATTAGTGGTTTATTTGAAAAACACGTAGTGAGTTTTAGCGGCGACCTTTTCCTTAACTTCAGATCCAAAGTTCAGATCAGAGGAAACTAATTTAATACATCAACAAAGAATTCCAGTGAAATGCTCAGTTTTGAACAAACATTAATTAACTATGTCCTTATAAGTATTTGAAAGATTGAAGAACATATACAAATATAAAATACTAAACACCTCACCAAATACCAAAATTCTACTATTTTCAGTTTTCTCTTCACAATTATTGACAATAATGACAGTTGACTTGTATTAATGAACTACAAGCTACAAGTCAATTCTGACGTTTTCGTAAAGCACCGAACACGGAAATAGAAAATAAGAGTGACAGTGTGGTTTAAGACCAGGACACTCTCAAGACAGGATCGTAAGTCGTATTATTAGTCGTAAGACTCGTGAGAGTATTCGTAATTCGTAAGCTGACGGCTGTTGATGTGGTATGCAGAGCAGTGATCGAGATTGATAAGCTCATTTTAATGAGAGAGTTGCGTATTATCACTTTCACCAAAGTAAAGGTAAATTGGATTCGTACATCAACTTGGTGAAGACAATATAACAAATACTTCACTGGTGATGCAATTGTACCCTAATCTGAAATTTCAGAAGTCGACAGGTTCGAGGATGGATATGTTAGTTTACGTAAGTTACTTTACGTGACGTTATGATTTTTTATCGATACACGAAGAACGCTATTAAATGATTAAATTAACGGGATTCGAATGTGGCAGGCAGGCTGACGTCAATCTGCGCACTGAGGCCACCTAGATTATCAATCTTGACCAAATGCTTGTTGGGCGTGGTAAAGATGCGACATGGTCATATAACTACTATCAGCAGCTCAGTGGACGAGCAGCTCACGACCGTTGCGCTTACTGAAGAGACCACCCTTTTCAAATTCAGTCTCACCAGTTGGTGTTACTAAAACTAGAGTCCCTGTATATACCTTAGACAAGAGTCCGGACACAAAACTGACAGCCGTTGGGGTTTTTAATATTTTGTTTTATTTGGTTTACCCACCTGACAATGTGACGAAACACCATAGTCGTCCCGCCCGCTCAATTATTTCGAATTTCCGTCACTGTCACTGAAATTTTATGACCGTCAAAATTTAGCATTTTAAATTATTTCAATGTCCTGCTGCGTACATTATTGCGATAATTCATTAGAAAAGGGATTCAAGTTATTCAATTTTCCGAATGATCCTTTAAAGATTGCAATGAAACGTCGAGAATGGAAAATTAATTTCAAGAAATCCGCAATTTGTGATGTAAATATTCAAATTTACTTGAGAAAAACAGTACAAGAAAGATGAATTTTAGGCCCATTTTGATAGAGATTCTTTCAAGCTGATGGATATCAAATTGAAAGAGTCTGCTGTGCCGTCAATTTATAAAATAGAGACGATCAAAAAAAATAGTTCCGTCGTCATCGTATTGGGAATTACAGAATGATACGATCGCAGAGAAAGAAAATGAGAATGAGATGATGCGGAAAGAAATTGAAAGTTTGAAAACAAAACTAGAAGATTTAGAGAAATTGCAATGTGCTATGTCATCAGTCCACGGTGTTTTTAAATCAGATCAAATTCAAAATTCACAGGTGAATGTAGACTGCAGGAAGAGGTGGGAAACCGACACAATTAAAATTATATTGAAACAATTATACATCTTCTTTTTTTATATATCCCAACAGAAAACAACTATATTTTCTTGGCTATATGTGATACCACGTAGAACACTCAAATTATCTTTCTTATATCTAATGAATTGAAGAAATATCTGATGACGGCGATTTGCAATAGCCATCTCAGGAATTGATTATGAAAATTATCGATTCGAAATTTGAACACCCTGTTGTTCATTATTTGAAACTCTAATAGTTATTCTAGTCAAAATAGCCCTATTTCTCACTTCTACCTACGGCTATGAACGGTTTGACAAATAATATAACCCTCAAAATTTGTTCTGACAATCATTGATCCTAGGGGAATTGAATAGACAGAGCTAGATATATATGTCTTATTCCTTTATTCAATCATCAATGCATTTTTTGAAAACAGAAAAGGACAGAAGTATAGATGTGTCCGGACTCTTGTCTAAGGTATATACAGGGACTCTAACTAAAACTAAAACAGTAAAATGAGAAGTCAATATAGAAAATCTCAAAATTTCGCTAGATAGCCAGGGTCCCTTGTTGCAAACTGACGTATTTCGTATTTGTCATCTTAACAGGGTACGGACAGATCCACATCTCTCACTCTTAAGTGTTTGGGATGATAAAGATAAACACTAGATTTTTCACATTTGTTGTTTTTTAGGTTATATTGAGGTCATTGGCGTATCATACGTAATTTCCATATGGAATTCCTGTTTCAACTATACCAAGATATAGATGAACAATCCTCTAGTTAGAGTTTGCCACTCCATCATATAATCTTTGCGAGGTAGGGAACATAAAATTTGTACTAGAAGCTCAATATATTTGACCAAAAGACTGTTCTTAAGACTGTATACCAGGGTTGACTGAATGAATTCTGATTTCGAGCTGAGCAGTAGTTCAACTATGAGCTGAATGAGCTGAGCCTTATGATTGAGAAATGGTGGAAACCCCGATGTCTCGACGAAAAGTAGGCTTATTAAAAACGTGAATTTGCAGGAAAATGAAGAATAGAATATACTTCACCCCCATGTTATACATATGATTTTTCCGTCTTCCTTAAATAAAGAAGTCATTTTCAAATAATTTATTGATGAAAGTTGAAAAGAGGTAGGTATACAGTACGAGATACAGTATAACTTATGGGCACGTTATTTTCAGTCTTGCATCCTACATACTTTCAATGTGTGGTAGAGTAATATAATTATATAAACTAATGTTGAAAGTGCAGTTCCTCGGAAACTTCAGTGACCCACAATTTGGATCGAAATATTTTGCTATTTTGTGAGACATTGCTGCACATACCCTTCAGCGATATTCGTAGACTTCCAAGCAAGAATTTCTCCTCCAGAGTTTGCAAGTAAACTTGCCGAGGTTCTTCTGAAACTATGCCCGGTATAATTTATGACATCAGGCAGTTTTAAAAACTCTGCAATTAGATGACCGATGACCTATGACCGATAAACGATGACCGATGTCAGTTGATGACCGGTGACAGATGACCGATGACGTGTGACAGTGAAAAGTGAATACTTATACAGTGTGTTCGAGACAAATGAATGTCAGAAAAGCCATATACAGAGCGACCTACAAAACCAGATCGAGGCAGAATTATATTATAGAAATGTCACATCAATGTCAGACTATCAAATCATAATATACCAAGTATATAGCATAACTAGTCACCATAAGTATACACTGGTCAGTTCACTTTGTGAATCTTCTGTTCGGTTCGTATGGACTGGATGGTTTTCTCCGATTGAGTGGCAAGTATCAAATACTGCTCCTCTGATCTGCAACAGAACATCACAATCATATATCAATCGAAGTACATTCATATCAGAAAATAAATATCATTAGATGAATTACATGGATGTTGAATCCGAGACATACCTGAATATTATATTCAACGTCCGTATAACTGGATTGCTACATATCCGCTTTCTTTCCGAATAGTGTTTTTTCCAGTAGGCATCTTCCACATTTTAAATTACGTACGTGGGTTATATTAAGGACCTTGAAGGCCAAACGATGTGCTGATCGGGTCTAAAATTAAGGATCTATTTCAAATTTGAATCGTGAGACCTATACATAGAATATTGGATATTGTGATCAACATTCGTAACTGGAACGCGATATATTTTTGTAATTCAAATCAACTATCTCAATGAAGACGAGACAGGCAGATAAACAACAATTTTCTCTGCAATGAAGAACACTTTATATACCTAACCCACAATGCGTCTACCTCCTTTGCAGAGAGGGTTTATAAACGCCGAGTTGATACTCTCCCCTCGTAAGGGTACCTGTCGTGTTTCCATAGAGACATAAAGGTGAATATCTGTCTCATCTGTTTTCTTATGAATCTGAAAAGGATATCAATATATTGCCTTCCGTACGAATATAATGATCTGAATTCTGTAAAGTATACTGTGATCAGGTCTCTTTGCGGATCTTCTGTTCGGTTCGTCTTGACTGGGTGGTTTTCTCCGATTGAGTGGCAAGTATCAAACACTCTGCTTTTCGGATCTGCAACTAAACATCACATATTAATCGAAGTACATTTAAATCATGAAATCCATATCATCAGATGAAGAGTACATGGATGTTGAATCTGAGACATACCTGAATGATATTTCCATCGTCCGTAACTGGATTGCTACATATCCGCTTCATTTCCGAATAGTGATTTTTCCAGTAGGCATCCCACATTCTCAATCACGTCGGTTATATTAAGGACCTTGCATGCCAAACAATGTGCTGTTCGGATCTAAAACTAATTGAGGATCAATTTCAAATATGAATCGTGAGACCAACATCATGGAATATAAATCTATGAAAAGTCTGGATAGTTTTCAACATTCGTAACTGAAACGCGATATATTTTTATAATTCATCAATTCATCAACTATCTCAATGAAGACGAGGCAGGCAGATATACAACAATTTTCTCTGCAATGAAGAACACTGTATATACCTAAACCCACCATGCGCCTACCTCCTTTGCAGAGAGGGTTTATAGACGCCGAGTTGGTAGGTACTCGCCCCTCGTAAGGGTACTTGTCGTGTTTCCATAGAGACATAAAGGTGAATATCTGTCTTATCTGTTTTCTTGAGAATCTGGAAACGATATCAATATATCGCTTTCTGTACGAATATAAGGATCTGAATTCTGTAAAGTATTCTCTGGCCATTTTTCATTGCGGATTCTTTGTTCGATTCGTCGTGACTGGATGGTTTTCTCCGATTCAGTGACACGTATCAACACTTTGCTTCTCAGATCTGCAAATAAACATATGACATCAAATATCGAAGTCCATACAAATTAATACTGATTTTCATGAGAGGTGGAACATAGATGTTGAATCTGAAACATACCTGAATAATATTTCCAACAATCGTAACTGGAACGCGATATATTTTTGTAATTCATCAATTCATCAACTATGTCAATGAAAGACGAGGCAGGAAAATAAACAACACTTTTCTCTGCAATGATACTGC